TTCCCAGTCCATTTAGGGCACTGACAATCCAGATAACTCCATTTTGTTTCCAAATATTAATTTAATTGTGTAACTTTATTTTGTTTAGACAAATATTCCAATTTTTTTTATCGTATGTCCAGGTTATTTATTAAACGTTTTTACTCTGACACCATGTTGTAATGTTCGTTTATTAATGAACAATAATAGATATTAAATCAAGTGCGTTGATACAATGAAGTAAAGTAAAACACGACGAGTGTTCAGCACAAGATATAAATATATTCTGTAAACCCTTAACATGTGATCTTAGATTTACTAGAAGTACGGAGCATGCGCAAACAAGCATTATACATAGGTCAGCTCAAGTTCATCATGTACGATGATACTACAGATATGACAAATTTAAATCAACGTCAACAAACCTCAATGTTATATGTCCATTTTCAAGACCGATGTGTTAAATAGCCATTGTGTAAAATTTGCTGATCACTTAAAGACGTACCTCAGGCAGGAGCTATAGATAACCAGAAGAAACAAGTGCAGTTTAGTGAAATTGTACCATAGCGCGGCGTACAGTACTACATGATGCAGGTTTGTTTTTCAAATGAAGACTTTTTTTTATCTTATGAAGAAAATATATTGAATAAATTAGGTTCAACCAAATTAAGTTCATGCATTTACAAGTACCCAACTTTTAGTTAAAATTTTACAGCCCCAGAACTCTAGTGTTAAAAGATTTTAATAATTTATATGTAAAAGATTATATCGTGCTATTAGCATTATGTCACGTGACTTCACCAGCAGTAAACCGCACCAAGATAAAATGATGGAAGATATAAATAAAAGCACCGTTGACCTAAATCGAAGATAACTTAAAACATTTTCAGATATTCTAAAGAAATATTTTTTTACGCCGAGCATTGGTATGCGCCGAGCATTGGTCCAACCAATCTCTAATAATAAAAGAGCTCTAGGGTTCCCGGAATACATTGTATCTCAAAGCTGTCTCTGGAGTCTGTTGAAGGAAGGACACTACTGGAAATAAATACTGCTGGTAATCCTTGACCGCGCAATCCAAAGAAATTCAATTCAATGTATACAATGTATGCCTTATTCTTAGTGTCAATATTTGTACTGCAAGACCAACCGATTTCATAATCTGATATTTCACAGATGTCTGTCTTTACAAATAGTATCTTTGCGAAGGGCGACCATTGTCTATATAATGAAAAGCCATAAAGAGCACAATTTGTTGGGCTAGCCTTATGCCTTATTCTCACCGATTTGTGCATTCCCATCAATTCATTTTTGACAACTTGGCTTAACAGTAAGTCTTACAGGCTTAAAATAAAACATTTTTTGGCAGTTATATGCAAAAAAAAATGTTTTTCATTGCAGGCAAATTTTGGCTGCCATATGGGGGGAAATTTCGGCTTTGAGAGGGGAAAAACATACTATTTTGAGGGGGGAATGGGGCCGAATTTCGCCGAATATTTTGGTGAAAAAAAACACTGTTAACTAAATAAATGTCTGAAAATTATAAAATCATAAATTATTCTTTAAATGTGTGCATTAATTGATCAATTGTAATTTTATAATGAGATTACTAGAGTTGGACATCGGTTTCCAGTGATTTTTTGGCTAATTTTATAACCATTATTGGGTCATATTTCCAATTAAAAATAGTGTATTATTTTCCCAATCCACTGGAAAAAAAATCCCAATTAAAAATTACAAAATAAAGATATTGAATAAAAAATTCTAAAGTCTTTGCAAATAAGGGCTTCTTCACTGTAATAGTGCTTAAATCTTTAAAAAATACCATCATAGACAGTAATTGTTTGCATCCATTTAATCACTGCAAAATTTTGAACAAAACACCACTGAAATTCCCAATTCCATGGGTATGGGTCGTGTTCCTAAAATCCTGGAAAAAATCCCTGGTTTCGTAAATAACCGGTATATAGACCCTTTCATTTAGGACTGGATTCAAGTTGTCGCCCTTAGATGACGTCATTGGGGGATATGGCTGACATTTGCTGATACGATTAAGTACATAAACAGAGGGATATAAAGATCTTAATCCTTACCTTTGTAAGATGGGCAGATTGAAATTGCCAAAATTTGTGAAATTGAATAAGATATTACAAAAAAAAGATGAATAAAAATGTTAAACATGATAAGGTTAACGATTTGTTTCAATACTAGACAAGGTTAATGATTTGTTTCAATACTAGACAAGGTTAATGATTTGTTTCAATACTAGACAAGGTTAATGATTTGTTTCAATACTAGACAAGGTTAATGATTTGTTTCAATACTAGACAAGGTTAATGATTTGTTTCAATACTAGACAAGGTTAACGATTTGTTTCAATACTAGACAAGGTTAATGATTTGTTTCAATACTAGACAAGGTTAATGATTTGTTTCAATACTAGACAAGGTTAATGATTTGTTTCAATACTAGACAAGGTTAATGATTTGTTTCAATACTAGACAAGGTTAATGATTTGTTTCAATACTAGACAAGGTTAATGATTTGTTTCAATACTAGACAAGGTTAATGATTTGTTTCAATACTAGACAAGGTTAATGATTTGTTTCAATACTAGACAAGGTTAATGATTTGTTTCAATACAAGACAAGGTTAACGATTTGTTTCAATACTAGACAAGGTTAATGATTTGTTTCAATACTAGACAAGGTTAATGATTTGTTTCTAGAATATATGGCTGGGTAACTGATCATGCATGGTTAGGCCAAAATAAAAAATATGTCTGGTTCAGGGAACCCTACCTACCCTATTTTTTTACCCCCTACCCTAAACTTTTTTTTTGATTTTCCCTATGAAATTTTTTGAGTACGAAAAGTTTAATAAGCTTCAATATTTTTGAATATGAAAAAGCAATGAAATTTGCTGTTCATTGTTTCAAATATTTGATATGAGTTACTTAACAAACTTTTATGTACATGCATTGTTTTAGTCAACTTAATGTTTGGCCAATCTCAAAAAAACTTATCATATAAGTATTATACATGTCAAGTGTGAGATATCAACGGCCATCCAAGGGGCAACATTTTGGAAGGTGAAGTAACATGTTTTAGGGCATTTGTTTGATAAAAGTGATTCATTTACGAGAGCTGCTTCAAGCGAAAAGATGCTAAACTGTTTGCTAGTGTCATTCTTAACTTGTTGACAGTAATCATTTTAATATAATTCTTTACCAATACTATTCATATTGAGACTGCAGTGAAATACACAGTGACTCTTTGGAAGTTACAAAATGGTGTTTGCATGGATTAATTACAATCTCTGTTTAAGTATGTTATGCAAGCAACACATCTGAAAATGGAAAATAAGATGTTTCAAAAAAAAGAAAAATGAAAATCCCTACCCTCCTAATTTTTGGGCCAATGTTTCCTGAACCAGACATATTTTTTTATTTGGCCTTACCATTTTTGTGCCCCCACCTTAGATTTACCCTTGTCCGTCCTTCCGTCCGTCTGCTAGAATTTGGTTTCCAGAGCATAACTTAAATTCCATTTGGCCCACAATATTCAGACTTCATAGGATGAGTGTCCATATTGGGTAGAAGACCCCTTTTGATTTTGGGGTCACAAGGTCAATTGTCAAGGTCACTATAACCTTAAAACTGAAAACAGTTTCTGGAGCATAACTAAAGTTCCTTTTGGCCTTGAAACTTGAAACTTGAAACTTTTTATTTACTTAAACGCCTATTTTTACAAAACATTCATATTCAATGGCGTTGTACAGCAATAATAATGATAATAAAATACTTCTAATAAAATACTATTAAGAAATGGTTACAGTGTTATGAGCAGATATTAAGAAATTATTGAATGATTTTAAATGAAAATGAGTAAAATGGTATCAATTCAAGTTAAGAACATATCATGCATCAAGAATAATAAAAAATTGATAAAAGATTACTAATATCACATTGAAAAATCACTTTTAGAATATACTACATATCACAGCTATGAATTTTAAAATTTCAAACGTCATTTGCGCTTTTTCACTTTTGAATTAAAACAAGTTGAAATAGTCCCTGAACATGTGGGTCTTAAGATTTCTCTTGAATGCTTCTATAGTGTTACTGTTTCTGATTTCTGTCGGTAATTGATTATACAGTTTAGGTCCAATGTAACTAAAGCTACGGTCTGCGAAAGATTTTCTCTTATTGAAAGGAACATTGTAACAATTGTCAACACATTCTGATGATCTGAGAACTCGTTTTGCAGATTTGCTTTCTAAAAGTTCAGTAAGATAATCTGGTGCGTTTCCCTTCGAACAATTGAACATGTAAGTTAAGATTTTAAAACTTATTCTTGCCTTTACTGGCAGCCAGTGAAGATCGAACAAAGCTTGCTTAGAGCTATCATATTTACTTCTTGAAAGAACTAACTTTGCGCACATATTTTGAATCTTTTGCATCTTTTGTAAATCACAGTTTGCGATACCGTATAAGATGGAGTTACAGTAGTCTAAGTGAGACATTACTAAAGATAACACAAGAGTCTCTGTCGCTTCCTTTGTGAGGTATTGTCTTATGTTTTTGATCCGCATAAAATTTATCATGGCAGTTCTACATTTCCGCTTTACGTGTTCTTTGAAGTTCAAATTTTCGTCGAGGAAAGCACCAAGATATCGAATGCAGTTTTCTTTGTTGATGGTATCGTTTACAATTTTGATAGATTTAGTTTCACATTTGGTAAGTTGTTGCTTACTCCCAAACATAATGAATTCGGTTTTTGAGGTGTTCATTTTCAACTTATTAGAATTCATCCAGTTGTTCGTTGTTTCGCCAGCGTTTTCTAAATCACTTATTGTATTCTTTTCACTGTTTTGTATATTTGGAGAAAACGATTTGTCCATAGTATGGTCGTCTGCGAAGCCACGAAGTGTGACCGTCGGCGGAATGTCATCGAAAAGTGTGCCTGCATAGGCGAGATACAACCAGGGCCCGAGACAGGATCCTTGAGGAACAGAACACTCCAGTGCACGTGACGTCGAATATGCCGAGTTTACATTAACCCGACAACTGCGTGGGTGAAGGTAGGAGTCAACCCAGCTTAATGCGGTAGAGGTAAGTCCGTATTGCTTGTTGAGCACGTCGATAAAAATGCTGTGGTCGACCGTGTCAAACGCGGCGCTCAGGTCAATGGCGATTAAAGCAGTCACTTCCTGTTTTTCCATTGCGCCGAGAAGGTCGTTCACAAGACACAGAAGCGCAGACTCACAGGAATGATTTTTTCTATAAGCACTTTGATTTGTGGGTAGAAGTTTATGTTTTTCAGCATGTGAATTTAACACTAATAGGGCTGCTTTTTCAATAACTTTTGAAAGAAACGGAAGATTACTGACTGGGCGATAATTCGAATAGATCAGATCAAGTCCTACTTTTTTAAGCAATGGTCGAACTACAGCCTGTTTCCATTTCTCAGGAAAGATGCCTTGACTGAGCGATAGGTTCACTAATTTAGTTATCAACGGAAGTAATTCAGTCAAAAACATTTTCAAGACGACAGTTGGTAGTACGTCGAGTTCACACGATTTCGATTGCATAT